AATCAAGTGAAACATTATGAAGATTCATTCACTGCATATATGTCTCACAACGCCAGGAAGTTTTTTTTATGTTCTATAAAATAGATAGCAACGATATAAAAGTAATGTGAGTTATAATGTTAATATCAAAAGCGCAATCGGCGCGTGCACAGTAAATTTGAAATCCGGAAATCAACACCATGAGAGTTAATTTCAACACTTTGAAAGTGTATATATGAGAACCACCCACAAAGTGTTAATTTAACACTTTCAAAGGTGTTGCCTCATGCAACACCAACACAGTGTTAAAATATGAACACTAAGAGAGTGAAATATTAACACAGATTCAGATAAAAACAACACTGTTACGGAGCTGAGTGCAGCTTTTTAGGAAACACTGGCACAGTTAAAATTCTACACTATTCCGGTGTTGACTTGACACTTTGGAAAAATAGATACAATTCCACTGCTTGGTGCTACACCCCTAAAATGAAATCTAGTTACATGTTTTCTAAACCCTTCATAACTTTTAAATTGCAAGGAACAACCATCCTGATCACAAACCAGATCAAATTTCTTACCAGGATATAAACCATGTACAAGTTTTAGGTGCCGAATTAATTTTGCTATTGTAGCAAACAGTGATTTACAGATGTAGCATCTAAACATCATTCAAAAACTTAGCTCTAAGCTCCTTTACTCTTGGGCTCTCACTTGTGGTGCCAACATCAATTCTGTACACTGTAGTCTGGAGAAAAGTGTACAAATTTTTGAGTGGAGGATCATAACTGAGGCTGAAAACAAAATGAACCTTGAACTTTACTCTAATGGCTGCCAGTGAAGAGGATTCTTGACAGGGGATGAGCTTTTTATCCACCACAATGAAGTAGTAACTGATGGCTTCCTTGCTGCTCCCTGAGGCAAGAATGTATGGCTGACGATTCTCTTCCAGCTCAAGGTGTTCCTGTATACTCCGGCATGCCTAAATGCGGGAAAAAAAATAAAGTCTATCAATAATAATGATAAATTAATAAATACAGCTTAATCAGTTAACATTTATTTTAGCCTTTTTAGCTTATTTGCACATGACCAGGAAACACTCCAAAGAAAAAACAGTACATGCACCAAACAACTGTTAATTTCAGTTTCAGATTTAGATCAGATTTAGATTAATTTTATCAACTTACTATATTAACATTTTAGTTTATCTAATAGTGAAATATAAGCTGAAGAAATTACTGAATCAATTCAAAGTGTAACGCTTATAGCCCTTGTATTTTGGCAACAGTGTACCAGTTACCTACTTTGTGAAACCAGATGGTCAATAGCCTGTGAAATACTGATCCTTTGAATTTTCTTTCTGCCTGAAGCCTGGGGTGATAGGAGATGCAAAAGTAGAAGGAAGGATGATATAGCACTGTCCCATTCTGAAAAACACAGAACATTGTTAAATGTCTACACAAAAATAACTAAGTATAGTATAATTTCACTGCAAAGTCATTGCAAGTTTCACCTGGGGAATCCTGTGCCTCGCTGCTTTCTTTGCTCTGTTTGGCAGATGACAGTAATCTGTATTCAAGGACTCCCAGTGATAGGCAATGGCTAGCTGGTGTTTTTTTGCAAGAGATTTGGTCAGGTTTTTGAAATTGTTTTGATTTCTCTTAAAAAAAAACCTGTGTTTTGCCTCATACCTCATTGTCCATACATGAATCAATGGGCCAATTTGTCTGATGCATTCAGGGTAGTGAATCATAAGGTGGCGTTTTGGAATTAGATTCCTAGGATACAAATCCTTGAACAACTGATGATGCTCTTTTATCAGATGCTTCAAAAATATTATCATTCCTTCAGAGATGCAAGGAGAAAAGATAATATTAACAATATGTAAGAGCAACAACATCAAATGCCAGTGCTTATCTCCCTCTGGGACTACATCTCCAAATATGAGAGGGATGTTCTTAATGAGACACAATGTCTGACTTGCATTGAGACCAATGTGGTTTCCTGCTTTCAACAACTGAAATAATTACACTGTTTGCAACACCGTTACCCTGTAATCTGGCTATTATTGATGCACACCTTTCCCTCGAACTATCCCTTGAAACAGAAGAACATTCATGCAAACACGCATCATTATCTGATCTTTGCTCTGTGTCAGACACAACAAGTGACACTGCTTCATTGAGATCTGGAGCTTGTTGATTTTGTAGAGATACAATTCCACTGCTTGGTGCTACACCCCTAAAATGAAATCTAGTTACATGTTTTCTAAACCCTTCATAACTTTTAAATTGCAAGGAACAACCATCCTGATCACAAACCAGATCAAATTTCTTACCAGGATATAAACCATGTACAAGTTTTAGGTGCCGAATTAATTTTGCTATTGTAGCAAACAGTGATTTACAGATGTAGCATCTAAACATCATACATCATTAAAGCTCTAAGCTCCTTTACTCTTGGGCTCTCACTTGTGGTGCCAACATCAATTCTGTACACTGTACACTGTAGAAAAGTGTACAAATTTTTGAGTGGAGGATCATAACTGAGGCTGAAAACAAAATGAACCTTGAAGAGTTCATCAATGGCTGCCAGTGAAGAGGATTCTTGACAGGGGATGAGCTTTTTATCCACCACAATGAAGTAGTGACTGATGGCTTCCTTGCTGCTCCCCGAGGCAAGAATGTATGGCTGACGATTCTCTTCCAGCTCAAGGTGTTCCTGTATACTCCGGCATGCCTAAATGCGGGAAAAAAAATAAAGTCTATCAATAATAATGATAAATTAATAAATACAGCTTTATCAGTTAACATTTATTTTAGCCTTTTTAGCTTATTTGCACATGACCGGGAAACACTCCAAAAAAAAAACAGTACATGCACCAAACAACTGTTAATTTCAGTTTAGATTTAGATCAGATTTAGATTAATTTTATCAACTTAATACTATGTATTAACATTTTACAGTTGATCTAATAGTGAAATATAAGCTGAAGAAATTACTGAATCAATTCAAAGTGTAACGCTTATAGCCCTTGTATTTTGGCACCAGTGTACCAGTTACCTACTTTGTGAAACACCACCAGATGGTCAATAGCCTGTGAAATACTGATCCTTTGGATTTTCTTTCTTCCTGAAGCCTGGGGAGATAGGAGATGCAAAAGTAGAAGGAAGGATGATATATCACTGTCCCATTCTGAAAAACACAGAACATTGTTAAATGTCTACACAAAAATAACTAAGTATAGTATAATTTCACTGCAAAGTCATTGCAAGTTTCACCTGGGGAATCCTGTGCCTCGCTGCTTTCTTTGCTCTGTTTGGCAGATGACAGTAATCTTTTCAGCAGTGGAGTGGAAGTCAAGGTTTCTCCTAGTCTGATAACCTTTGCTTTGAAAACAGTTGGCCACCTTTCCAAAAGTCTGGAAGCAGTTTCTGACCCAAAGAGGAGTGTAAAGTCCTGAAGAATCTGAAGCAGTTTGAAGAAAACACGTAAAGAAATTATAATATATTGACAAGCTAAATGTGGTCAGTTTAAACAATGTAGACCATTTGACAGTTCTCTGAATCTAACATTTCAATTTTTGTAAAAAAGGAAAGAGAAAATCCATACCAATCCTTTAGTGTCCAGGAATCGAGGGAAAACTGAGAGAATGGTGGTG